TATAGATGGCTGTGAGCCACCAGGGGGTTGCTGGAAATTTATCTCAGGACCTCTGGAAGAGCAGGTAGGTGCTTTTAACCTCTGAGCCATCTCTCCAGTTCTCTTCTACTTTTTTTTCTTCTACTCTCTCAGGTTGGAGAGGTGGTTCAGTGGTTAAGAGCACTTGTTGCTCTTGTAGAGAACCCTGGTTTGTTTTCCAGCACTCACATGGTAGGTCACAACCACTTGTAACTCCAATTCCAGGGGACACTGTCTTTCTGCCCGGAGAGCACCAGGCGTGAATGTGATGCACACACATATATACTGGCAAAGCACTCAACGCCCATAAAATAAATACACCAAAATTTAAAAAAAAAAAAAAAAAAGGTTGGTCTTTTAAGACTATCCTGGCTAGTTGGGTGGTGGTGATGCAAACCTTTAATCCTAGCACTCAGGAGGCAAAGGCAAGCAGATCTAGGAGTTTGAGGCCAGTCTGCTCTACCGAGCAAGTTCCAGGACAGTTAGGGCTGTTAAAACAAAGAGAAACCCCATTTCAAACAAACAAAAAATGGATCCAGGCTGGTATAAACTGAAGCCATTACTAGAACGTTTTTTGTTTTCTCCAGGCAGAGTCTCACCATGTAACCCAGACTGGCCTGTTACCTATAATCCTCTTGCCTCTGCTTTCCAATTGCTGGGATTAGAAGCAAATGTCACCATGCCTGATGAGGCTGTTTGTACACAGAATGGAACCAGGGCCTTGGACATGCTATGCGAGTCTCCACCACTGAACTATAGTCTCGGCTGTCAGGTGGTTAGGATCCTGGAGGTTCATGCTGAGAGCCCCACACTGAACAACGCTGACAGGCTCAATGTTTACTTTCTTGCCTGCCCACCTGCCCACCGCCCTCCTGCCCACAGCCTTCCTCCAGCCCCACTCACTCCAGTGATCTTCTTCTTGCATTTGGCACAGCTAGGTGCGTAGCGCACATCATAGCAGGAGGGGCAAAAGATAGCCCCCTTCTCCTCGAAGAAGCCACCCTCTTCCAGAACCTTTCACACTGGCTGCACACAAATTCTTCAGGGTGGTATGCGTGGCCCAGCGCTACCAGGTAGCGGCCCCTGCAAGGAGAGGGCATGAATGCAAATAAGGTAGACACTCCAGGAGGAAGACAGGCCTGGTCTCTCCATACAGAAGAGGAATCAAACGTAAGGGCAACCTCTCTTGATGATGGAAGCTGTTTTGGTGCCCTGGTTTGGGAGGGAGCCTGAGACTACCAAGACACTCCTGGGGGACTACTGTCCACTGCAAAGATGAACCTTCAACAGACCCTGGTGAACACCATCCTGCTTGCCTATTCCATTTTGCCTGAGCAGGGGCCTGGAGGCCCTAGAGAAATGGAGGTGATATTTTACACATCCTTTGCCTAAGGGCTGATGGGAGACAAGAGCAGCCCACCAGGGCCAACTAGGAAGGTTCTAGAATCTGGCTCTGAAGGACTGTGTGACGCAGTGCACAGAGGGAGGTACCTGTGGCTTATTGGTTCTGAGAGCAGCAGCTTAGCCCAAGTGTGAGGGGGAAGCAGCAGACAGGGAGGCCTTCTTTATCCAGAGTGTGGCAAAGTGAGAGGCACAGCTTCAGAGTGCCGCTGGCACCACCCTGCTCTCCCTGCTACAGACTGGTGTGCGTGTGGTAGGAAGTGTAGGATTAAGAACCTGAGGATTGGGGGCTGCAGGGATGGCTTGGCAGTTAAAAGCACTTGCTGCTCTTCCACAGGACCCAGCTTTGTGTCCCAGCACCCACATGAAGGCTCACAGCCTTCTATAACTCCATCCAGTTTTCCAGGGAAATTCAACGTCCTTTCTAAAGGTTTCTGTGGGCACCAGGCATACAAGTGGCGCACAGATACACACATGGGCTACACACCCATACGAAAAGCAAAATAAATTTAAAAAGATCTGAGATTCTACGCTAGATCCCACCCTGCTTCAACCAAATTCTTAATTCTCTCAGAGTAGCAGCCGAGGTATGGCAGGTGATAAAGCGAGCCAGGATCAGGCTGCGGGCCAGGAAAGCCAGGGTTGGGGGGGACCACTCACCGGATGATCTTGTGGCACTGGTGGCAGATGGGCGTCTTGCCATTATTGCTGCCCCCTCCTGCGCCCCCTCCAGCTGCGGCCTGCACTATGGAGGTGCGGTTCTGCAGAGGCGTGGGTGTGGCTGGCTGGCTATGCCGGGTCAACACTGTGCTAGTTTTGTCTGGGGCATAGCGCTCGGCCAAATGCAGGGTCCACAGCCCAGGGTGGGCGGCTGTAGGGCTGGGGGTGGTGGGGCCTGACAGCCAAGGAAAGTAGATCCAGAGGGGTACTCAGGGAGCCCAAAGTGCAGAGGGTAGAGCCCAGGGTCACCTACAAAAGCCCACCACCCCTATGATCGTGGAGGCTACCCACCCTTCTTCAGACCCAAGCCCACTTTCTTACCAGGCCAGGGTTCCTGGGGTATAGTTGAGGCTGGGGCTGGGGCTTCTGTCCTGGGCACCTGGCTGCAAGATCTGCCATTCAAGGCCCTGCCTGGCTGAGGCTCTGGGCATGGTCCCACCCCCTAACTTCAGTTGTGGCTGGCCCCATGGGTAAAGCATGAGGGCATGAGAGATCCTGGAATGGATTCTGGGTCCCTCCAGGGTACAGGTAGGAAGGGGTGCTTCCCCCAAGTAGGTTAGAGTAGGTCTGCTGTGTAGAGTGTGGAAGCAGGGCAGGGGCTTCTGCTCCTATGGCAGCCTTTGAGTCTCCTCTCATACAGGAGAACCACGGTAAGGTACCATCATCTTTGTTAGGTACTTCCTCCCACCGAGAAACAGACCATAGGACCCACGCCAAGTCTAAACCACTTAACATCCCGTATGCAAAACATAACCAGACCCAACAAGACAGAAGACAGAGGCAAAGGAAGCAGGGCTGAGAACGTTTATTTTCATGCTCAAGGCAGTGCAGACCTGGCAGACAGTAGTACCACAGGGCCAAGAGGGAAGGCAGTGTCAGACGAAGCCAGGCCCTGTGCCAGGCGGGCTTGCCAGGACCAGGCCAGAAGGAGGTTCAGGTCAGGAACATGAAAGCGGTAGGCAAAGCTTGGGGCACCAATGGGGCGCCCTCGGAGGGAGTAGCAGAGAAAGGACAGCAGAGGGCAGCAGGCTGGCAATGGCCAGGCTACGACTGCACGTTGAGCACGTGGGCAGAGCGCTGGTGGTGCCAGTCCCGGAGGCGCGTATAGCGTGGGCTCTGTAGCTCCAGGACATACCTTTCCCTGAGGGGCAGAGAGAGAGAGAGAGAGAGAGAGGAGGAGGAGGAGGAAGTAAAAGGAAGGAGAGATGGAAGGGAGGCAGGGAGGATGGAGGGAAGGAAAGGCAGAAGGGAGAGAAGAGAGCCCTGGCAGGGGAAGGCCGGGAGCAGATGCGGGCAAGTGGCTGGAATGGAAGAGTGGGAGGTTAGGGAGAGGGGCTAGTGCCCACGCTTTTACCTTGACTTCTTCATGTATTCCTCATCCGGGTCTTGCACTGAGAGGATAGAGGCAGGCATTGACCAAGAGAAACAACGGTCACCCAGCCTCGAGTCCTGGCAAAGTCAGGCCTAGGCTAAGGCCCAGAGAGTCTGCCCTGACCTGGGCCAGCACTTACTGAACTCTGTGCCCGTGAGGTGGGCAAGGATGCGGAAGGAGCGGGACTGGCCTGTCCCCGGCCGTGGCCGCCAGTCTTCGGTATCCTCCATCAGCCGCTGCTTGCTGGCATCGGGGACCAGCTGTCTGAGCAACTGTCTGTGGGAAGGGTGTGGCTCAGAACCTCTGGTTCTGGGTGAGCACCAGGGGCAGCCCCTCCCAGGATCTGATGTGCATGGGTTATGGTGACAGGTGAGAGAGGGGAAGGGTGAGGGGGTGGGGCAAAGGGCCCTGCTGGATAGGTGGGTAGGTAGGGAAAGGAGAGGTAGGAGGAGGGTAGCCAGGGCAGGGAGGGGCTACCACCCAAGGTGCTGAAAGGAAGGAAAAAAGTGAGAGGAAAAGGGGGCTCACTGACTTGTCAGGGGTCTGCACCTGTGAAGGAAATAAGACAGATAGACAAATAAAGGGACAAATACGGGAGAAGAAAGGTGGGGGAGATCAGAGCAGTGGAGAGGGAGGCAAGGTGGCCATGAATGTCTGAGACTCGGCAGGCCCAATACCACATCCCAACCCCAGACTGCCCAGGAGGGCGGAGCCTGTGCAAGAGCAACAGCCTTAGGTGGGGCTCTATGCCCACAGCCCTATCCAGCCGCCAGGGACTGCTGCCACACGGTTAAGGGGCTTGGGTACAGCACAGACTGAGCAGTAGCGGGCAGCTTGTGTGTGCTTGTGACAGGGCTAGACAGTGTGGACCACAGACAGGAGTGAGTGGGCGAGTGGGCGGGGCTGACATACCCATTCTGCTGCGGGGTGCTGTCAGTAGGTGGGGGTGCCCCAAAGGGCCGGGCCGTCTTGTTGAGGGAGGCGCTTGGTGCAAAAGTATACCTCGGGGGGTCGGCGGGAGGGGTCAGGGCCTGGGCAGAGACAGAGCCAGGCAGGGTGGGTGGGAGTGGGGGCTGAGGTGGGAGCAGAGTCACCACCACCAAGGACAGTGACAGGTCCAGCTCCATTTACACATCTGGCCAGAGGCTAAGGGTGGAGGGGTAACTACGATTTCAAGGAGCCCATTTGGAAGTGATGAACTCAACCCACTCTGTGCCAAGGGAGACCAAGGATGGGCAGGCGCACACAGCACAGGCTCGTGGGAAGAAGCAGGCAGACAGACAGGCAGGCACGTGTGCGCCCAGACCGTGCGGCAGCTCCTAGCTCCACTCTCAGTTCCCACATATTGCCCATACTGGCATCTGCCCTCTGCCCTTAGCCAGGAAGAGGGTACCAAGGCTGGGTCAGGGAGGGCAGGCCAGCCCTTTAGTTCAAGCCCCTCCCTTTCTCAGCCTAGATATTGCCCGCACAACCTACCTTCTGTGGTTTGCTCTGAACAGGCTGGGCTCTGGAGAAGAAGAGAAAGGAATGACGGCAGGTGAGCCAGACCAGAGATGCCCTCACCCCTTCATCCTGGCTCATCCCCAACTCCTCACACCCCCCCCCCCATACCTGCTAAGACCCAGGCTGAGGCGCTCCCCACAGGCACGGATCTTGTTCTGGGCCTCAATGTGCGTGAGGTTCCCTGCGTTCTCGCCATCGATGCTCAGCACCCAGTCTCCCACGGCCACGCCAGCCTGTGCAGCTTTGCCCCCAGGAGTAAGCTGGGGGAGGAAAGGTCAGAGGCCCATGGGCACACGCACACCAAGCTGCACAACTGGCCATTCCATGGCTTGATTGTCTGTTCTCCTCTGTGACCCCCCCCCCCACAGTCCAGACACAGCTGGCAGACAGCTACCTTCAGGCTAAAGGACACACTTGCAAGCTAGGACCTCAGCCTTTGAGGTCTCTGTTGGTCTGCTCTGGAGGCTCCTTCCCCAGGGACTGAATGCCTTCATACATGTACTCTTGCTCTCATTGCTGCATACTCTTTTGTTTTGTTTGTTTGTTTTGTCAGCCAGTGCTGGTGACCACCATTCCACCAGGCCTACTACATTCCCTCATTTGCCACCCAAACTAGAAAATTCCCAACTCAAAGCCAAAAGAACCGGAGACATGATAGTCATCCAGAGGTCTGAAACCAAGGGCCACTCGGCCATCTGGCAAGTGAACTGGCAGGCCGAGTTTACACTTCACGGGTAGTAGGAAAAGTGGGGTGCAGGCTATCAGAGGCCCAGCGGGCTCCTCAGGTGAGCTGATGCAGTGTGTACTGAAGCAGAGGGAAGGCAGAGAGGTTCTGGGGATGCTAAGGACAGTCTCTGACTCAGAGACTGCAGACACTAGGACAGAAGGGGGAGCTGGACTTGACAGCTCTATTCTGTGCCTGAAGGGGAGATGAGCAGAAGAGAGAGAGGGTGAGTCACAGCCCTTTCTTTACCTGCTAACAACCGGTAAGAATAGCAACTCCCAGAACACCTAGGATTGACACCGCATCTCCCAGCGTGCTTGCAGAGGAGTCTGGGGACACACCCTGCTCACACTCAGAAAAGACAGACCACCACCAACACCTGAACTCAAGTCATGAGCTGCAGCCAGGGTTTGGATCTCCACCAGAACAGGGCAGCTAGGCTGTGCAGGAGGTCGCAAAAGACTCTGGGGAGCTGGGCGGTGGTGACACACTCCTTTAATCCCAGCACTCAGGAGGCAGAGGCTTGTCTGGTCTACATACTGAATTCCACAACAGCCAAGACTATAAAGAGACCCAGTCTCAAAATAAATAATTTATTTTTTTTAAGAAATTAAAAAAAAAAGACTTTAGGTACCAAGCCTAGCACTGTACACACACAATGCCAACACTCGGGCACACTGGCAGTTCAATTCCAGACATTGTCTGAAAAGAGACTCCTTCATGCCTTAGCTAATTTGGGGTCTTAATGCCCCTCTCACCTTTATTTCACTCCCATCAGAGTCTTATAATGGGGACAGGGAAGTGACACCCCAAAGGGGAAGTGACTTGCGCATGGTCACGGTGAGTCACCTCACCAATAGATGGAAACCTGGTTTAGCCACTCCTTCCTATACAGGCTGCTTCCTGAGAGGTGCGGGGTGAGACCGAGGTAGGGAGGTCTTCTGAGGAGGAGCAATTGGCCCCTAAAGAAGTGGAGGAGTGAGGGGGCAGGAGGAAGCATTTGAGGGGTCAGACAGCAGGCAGAGTGGGAGAAGGCAGCATGGGAGGGCCCTTTGGGAAAGGTGGCTAGTGAGATTAGGAGGGAGAAAGCAAGGGACTGGACAGTGTTACAGATGGGGGTGAGTCAGCCTGGGAGCTCCACTGAGCAACCCAACCCCCAAATCCCAGACATTACCTCATTTTCCAGGCCTGGGCCCACAGCCAGCCCTAGCCCCTCCTACCTCCCTCTACTCTGGGGTCAGGGGAGGGATAGCGAGCTGGCTGGCCCAATTTAGAAAAGCCCACCCCACCCATCAGGGCCCCATTCCAGGGCAGGGCTCAGCTGGTGGCCCCACCCACACGTTAAGGCTGCTGACAAAGGAGCCCAGGGACCAGAGTGCCCCCAACAGGCAACATCTCAGAGGCCATCATTACCGACGAAGAAACCAAAACCTACACCACACTGGCCAGCACTTTCCCAGAGGGGAGGAAGAAGATATAGGATGTATGTGTGGGGGAAGGGTCCATTGCTCTTAGTCACCCTGCTGGTTGGGGCGGATTCCAAGACAGCCCCAGGGAAGGGTCCTGGGAAGAAGACTGCCTGTTCGCCTGCCTACCCTGAAGAATCCTGGGGAGAATGCAGTCTGAACGCCTGCCTGCCCTGGCCACCACGTCTGACTCCCACAGAGATGCAGCTTTGACATCCCTCTCAGGCTGAGCAGTGCTGGGAAATTCTCAGGCCCTTCTGGGCTGGGCTTGCCCTGGGTTTCCTGCCAACAGCTGCCTGCCTACTCCATGGCTGGGTGGGCCTTCCTAGGCAGGCGGATATCAGGGCAGGAAGTCCCTGCCCCCTTTTTGACCCTCTAGGTCAGTCAGAGATACCAAGTTGGTGTGCTGCCTCACCTCCTCTGGCACAAAGTTTGCTTTAAGTCCTACTGACACAAATGACTGATGGATGGATCAGGTGAGGGACCCACCAAGGGGACTCAGGGGCCTAGACCTAGGCCAACCCTTTTGGGTTCTGTTAACTAGCCACTGTTGGCCATCCCAGCTGGGGCTGCATTCTTGGGCTTATAAGGCAATCCCCCTGCCACAGGGAGGAGTCAGCTCCAGCCCCACCTCCCCATCAGACAGAGGAATGGGAACAAGAATCCAAGAGGCCAGCCTCACTACACCTTTGCTTAGGGTCAAAGGTCACTATAGCCTGATTAGAACCAACAGACTGAGACTCGGGTCCTCGCTCAGCTTGGGAAGAGATCCTCTTCCTTAAATTTACAGAATGGAAAAGCCGTTTTGTGCCTTAATTCATATCCTTGCTCTGCCAGGGACTTGCTGAGTGAGCTCCTCCGTCCCTTCAAGTTCTGTCCCTTGGCAAAGCAGGATGACCACTGCTATCCTTGGGTAGCAGTGACATTAAAGCTAGGTGCTGCTTGGGACCTGGCTCCACACGCTGCTCTTCAAGCTAAGACACTTCTTGGAGACATCAGCTGGGATCCCATACTGCAGAATCGGTTTCTCCTTGGCACTCACAGATCGCCAAGGGGGCTTGGTGGAATAGCACCGAGTACCAGGTCAAAGCAGGAAAGCTGGGGACAGGGGCTCCTCTTCTACTAAGCTACCTAGTTGGTACTCCCTGGAATAAGTGTCTATTTGGACTAGGATACTCCTGTCCCGTTGGCCCCAGCATGCTCCTGCCATTACCATCATTTCCTGGAAACATGAGCACCCAAGAACCCTTGGGGAGTACGTTCCAAAGTCTAGGCTCACCCGAGAGATGGAGAGGGGCACATTGAAGTCCTTGCCCCCTTGCAGCCGGAAGCCCCAAGGTGCTGGTCCCTCCAGCACTACCTTGAAGGAATCCATGGTGTCTGTTCCTGTGAGGAAAGGGGAGGTCAACACTGCAAACTGGCAGGCAGGTCCAGGATCTCATCACTAGCGTTGCCCAGGTACCAGAAAGCACAGGCGGCCGCTCAGCACACATAGGCACTGGGAGACAGGTATCTCGTCGGGTTTGGCGGGGCTCCTGGCAGGCAGACCTCACAGGCAACAGGCAAGTTCTCCACCCTGCCCCCTGCTACCGGGAGGGTGAGGAAAGTCCTCATCAAGCTCGACTTCTTTTCTCCTCCAGGGGTGGGCTGTGGGGCTAATTGGCACTGCTTGGCCCAAGCTAACCTGGAATCTCAGGAGGGCGGCAGGGTGAGTCAGGGGCCAACTCCCCCTCCTTCCCCGGGTCCCAGCAGGCCGCTGGAGCCTGCTCGGACTATATAAGGCTTGTAAGCTGACACTGTAGAGAGCCCGTGGAGGGAGCACTTTAGGGGCTTGGGATGTGAGGGGGAGGGGTGGGAAGGAGACCGCTGGGGTGGGTTCTAGCCATTTTGGGACAGGTCGAGGCTGCAGGCAGCCAGGGTGGGACCCTTGGACAAGCAAGGGGGGGGAAGAAGAGGGGTGCTGACTATGTGGAGAGTGACGGGGCCAAGTCCCTAACGCGTGGCCAGGGACGGGATTCTTTCTGGAAGCCAGAGAAAGTAGTGCCACCTACGCACGAAGCTCCCTCCCTTTCCAACGTGACTCTGTTTCCCCTCGTCTCCCGCCCCAGCCCGGCGCTTGGCCGCGTCCCCACCGCACACGGTGGCGCAGGCGCCAATCAGCCCCACTTCGCCGCAGGAAGGCGGGGGCGGAGGCTGCGGCCGAAGCTAACCGAGGGAATCTGGCACAGGCCACGAACGCCCACGCCCTCACCAGCACCTCGGAAGGCCACAGGACCCTACGGGCTGCAGCCCACGAAGTCCCCTCGCGGCCGCCCGTACCTGAGTGCCCAGATGGGCCGCTGCTCCGCAGCCTCCCGGAGCCGCGTTAAGATCCGCCGCTGTGCTCTGACCCCGCCTCCACGGACGCCACGCAATTTGAGCCCGCGGAAGGGGGCGGAGTCCTAGGCCACGCCCTCCTCAGGCCACGCGAGTGGACATCCCGGGGTGGGTGGGGGGTGGGAGGGCCCAGTCAGTAAGCCCTGAGTCTCCGGCGCCCAGTCAGTAAGCCCTGAGTCTCCGGGAGAGGCAAGGAGAGATTGGGCATTTACCCAGGCACTTACTCTCTCGAGCCCGACCGCCGCCCAGCCTGCGCCCTGCTCCAGGCTTTCACCCAATCCCCTTGCGCCTCCCACTGGCGAAAGAGAAGAAAAAGCAGCCTTTTAAAACACCCAGGTTTTAGTGGTCTCTCTCCTTATTCTCCCTTTGTGGGGGAAAATGGCCTCATAACACCCTTCTGTCAGGGATAATGTAGAGGTCAATACGGACGGCACCGTCAGAGATTTCGGACTGCCTAAATTCCAGGGAATGGAGCGAGACAGGGTAGTTTCAAGTTAGCTTTCCGGGGTTAGGGGGTTAGGGATGTAGCTCAGTAGTAGAGCGCCTGCTTAACTTGTTGGAGGCCCTTGGTTCAATCCCCAAAACCAATCAACCAAAGTGAGGCTCGCAGGACAATCTGGAAGCCAATAAAGAAGTGAGTAAGTAAGTAAATAGTAAGAGCCGACAGTCTCTGTTGTTCCAACAACAGAGTTGGAGAGGGCCCCTTGCTCCACTTGGGGCCTGGCAGTGAGAGTCCATCCAGACAGAACCAGTAGTCCACAGTCCTGCGACTTCCACCTATGCTGCCAGCACCACTATCGGCATGGATTATATCCCCTTTGTACCCCCACCGGAGTTCACAATCCCTCCTATGGGGTTGGGGTGGAAGGGGCTGCCATGGTGTGTTCTCAGAGCCCCTACTTTTGGCGTTAGCCAAGGCAGAAGGGAAAGCTGAGTTCCGCTGAGTGTTTGACCTCCCTTTGCTCCTCCCAGGACCACTGTTACATCCCCTTTCTCCGTCATGGTCCTGACTACTCAAACTCCCTCCCGGGAGTAGTCACCTTTGAAGAAATCCTCCTCGGTAGGCTACTAATTGTTCTTCCTCTGGTAATCCCTTGTCTCCCAACTCTGCCGCTTTCCCGAGGTCTCCACGGCCTCCATCAAGTCAGCTGCAGCCTTCATGTTTCATCCTGCCCTGCTGAGGAATGCTGGTCAAGGCTAGACTGAGCCACTTCCTTTTACTTTTTCTCTTTCAAGATCCAGTGCCCTCTTCTGACCTCTTCAGTCACCAGGCACACACGTAGCACACACACTTACATGTTGGCAGAACAGCCATACACATAAAATAAAAGTAAAATAAAATAAAGTCTGCTGATGTTGACCGGCTGTCCTTGAACGTGCGTGGATTCCAGATCTTCTCACCTCTACCTCCTGAGTGCTGAGATCACACCACCAAGCCCAGAGCTTCCTCGTCTAAAATGGCCTTTCTCCCTGGCTCTAAGGCTGTCTTCCCCCACTAGCTCCTCATCTGCCTCCTGCCTGCGCCATCTGATCACTGTTCTCACATTGTAAGAGCCCATATTGTCCTTTGGTTTTCAGTAACACCGACAATGACTGACCCATGCTTCTCCCTGAGGAACTACAGGCATCAATAATTAATACCTTGTCCAGATGTCTGCTAGGCCAGTATCTCAAACTCTGTGTCCCAATCCAAATTCCTCTAACTCCTTCCTGGTCCGAGTCAGTGACATCATTCACCCAATCTGCTCAGTAGGGCCTATGAAGTTACATGTCTTTTCTCATCTCCATCATCCCCCAAATCTGCAAATTCCACCTTTGAGATTCTTCACAGCTAATCATTGCCACTGTTCCGCTGCCATCTTATGCTTCCACACCTAACAGTCTCAGTCCCCGAGCTGATTGCCCCCTCTCCCCCTTACCCCTGCAGGCTTCATGAGTCGCCTATGTGATATTCTTAAAGCAGAGATCACACCTCATCTTTTAGCATCCAGTGGGCTCACAATACTTTTAAAATAAAACTGAAATCCTCAAGACCTACGCAAGACTAAGAAACTGGGTCAAGTGTTAAGCCTGGCGGCACAGGCCTGTGTAGTCCCAACTCCTGGGGGGAGGGTTGCATGTTCAAGGCCAGCCTGGGCAATGTAGGGAGACCCTGCTTCAAAATAAATAAATAAAATACAAACAAAGGAGGGGAGGAAATTGCGGGAGACAGGAGGTCTGAATCTCTAACACTGGGAAAAAGAGAGGCAGTGAAACTGGGTCAGCCTCCTTCCCAGGCCGGCACATTCCATTTACATCTTCCTGACCTTCCCTCCACACCTCCAAGCACACTCTTGCCTCAGGGTCCCTTCGCATCTTGCAATTCCTTTTGCTTAAAACACTTTTTTTTCCTGGAGATCAAAAAATAGACTTTTAGAAAAATCTTCTCTCTTTGAACACTGCTTCCTCCATGGGGGCTTCTCTAATCTTCCTGTCTAAAACCTCAGTCCCAGCCGGAGAAATGGCTCAGTAGTTAACAGCACTGACTGCTCTTCCAAAGGACCCATGTTTGATTCCCAGCACCCACAAGGAGGCTCATGGGCATCTTAACTTCATGTGCATTAGGTATGTACACAGTGCACAGATACACATGCAGACAAACACTTATACATATAAAATAATAAAAATATAAATTTAAAAAATTTAGCCGGGTGGTGGTGGCACATGCCTTTAATCCCAGCACTTGGGAGGCAGAAGCAAACAGATATCTGAGTTCCAAGCCTGGTTCAGGCCAGCAAGGACTACACATAGAAACCCTGTGGGGGTGGAGGGGGAGAGGGAAAACAGCAGGGGGAGGACACAACACACGGCACCAAAATATTAAAACAGCTGTCCCCTGACACGACACTTGTATTGCACCTAGTCCCTTAACCTACTTTATTTTCCCACAGCACGTTCCGCCCTCTGACACACTGTCTTTATTGTCCCATGAGATCCAGGACTCCTCTCTCCTGTCTGCAGTGCCTGCACAGAGTTGAGGTAAGTGAACGGAAGGAAGGAAGGAGGGTTTGCAAGAAATGAACAAAAGAGGAACTGGCAGTCTGGTGGCTCCTGCTTATACAGCAAACAGGAAAGACCTCCAGGCCCCTTTCTTGATCCACACAAAGGCTTGGGACTAGGTAGTCTGTCGGGATCTTCCCGTGAACACACAGCCTCAGGGTTGGAACAGGCACTGGATTTGAAAGGATACAGCGCCCCCTGGTGACCTGAATTCCTGCAGCTTCGTGGCCAGCCCCCACCTCTATATATAATTTATAATATATTTTTTTTTCCAGACAGGGTTTCTCTGTGTAGTCCCAGATGTCCTGGAACTCACTCTGTAAACCAAGTTCACCACGAACTCAGTGATCCACCTGTCTCTGCCTCCCCAGTGCTGGGATTAAAAGGCACCACCACCCACCAGCCAGCAGACCAGGTCTCTTAGCCTTGAAAGTGTTCAAGGACTATCTTTTCCAACAAAGTTGGAACATGATGAAATATCCAGGCTGGCCCAGAACTCTTTAACATGGCTCAGCCTTTAGATCAGAAATTACAGTGGGCCATGACCCCCACTAAGGTTTAGATTTTTCTCCTCTTGCAGTGTTGGGGGACCATCGCAGGATCCTGAACATCCTGGAACATCTCTACCACTGAGCCACATCCCCAGCCCTGAGACTTGGAGTTTCAGTTAAGGAAAAGGTCACCAGACTGAGGATTCAAGAGTTCTGGATTCCAGTTTTGGTCGTGACCGTGACTCGTGTGTCTAGTACTTAATGAGATAGCCAGGGCTAGGACTAGCCACTGTGGGGGAAGATGTCCTGCAGCTAATCTGACAGGAGTTTCTTTTTTTTAATATTTATTTATTTATTATGTATACAACATTCCTTCCATGCCTGCCTGCATGCCAGAAGAGGGCACCAGATCTCATTATAGATGGTTGTGAGCCACCATGTGGTTGCTGGGAATTGAACTCAGGACCTTTGGAAGAGCAGGCAATGCTCTTAACCTCTGAGCCATCTCTCCAGCCCCCTGACAGGAGTTTCTTGGCCTTGTCTGCTCTACGGCATTCTGATCAGTCGGGGATGATGTTCTTGGTCAGTGTTTGGTTGTTTGGTGAGTGGCGTGCAACCCTGCCTCTCATGGTTCTAACGTCCTTCTAGACTTTTCTCTCTGCTCTGAAACACACCTGAAACAATACTGCACAGAGCCCTGACTTTCTTACTTATCTTCACACATTAAGCTCGGAGAACCTTTTTCTTTTGGCAGTGTCGGGAATCGAGGGCCTCAAGAATATTAGATAAGTGTTGTACCCTTGAGCTACAGCCCTAAACCTAGAAATGACTTTTAGATATACAGATGTACAGGGTACTGTTGGATTCTTAAATCTGGAGCATTGTGGAATAGAATATTGAACTATGTAAAAATGTGTTGCATTTGTTTAACTATGTAAAGGTGTGTTACTTTTGTTTATGTAAAGGTGTGTTGCATTTGTTTGACTATGTAAAGGTGTGTTTTGTTTATGTAAAGATGTACTACTTTTGTTTAACTATGTAGAGGTGTGTTACTTTTGTTTATGTAAAGATGTGTTACTTTTATTTAACTATATAAAGGTGTGTTACTTTTGTTTAACTATGTAAAGGTGTGTTACTTTTGTTTAACTATATAAAGGTGTGTTACTTTTGTTTAACTATGTAAAGGTGTGTTACTTTTGTTTAACTATGTAAAGGTGTGTTACTTTTGTTTAACGATATAAAGGTGTGTTACTTTTGTTTATGCTGCATTTGTTTAACTAGGTAAAGCTGTGTTGCTGTTTCACCTTTTCTACCTAAGGTACACGGTTGGTCTAATAAAGAGCTCAACAGCCAATAGAGGCAGAATAAGCAGAACTTGCAGGTAGAGAGCCAGACTTAGGGGAAGCAGGAAAGCAGGATAAATAGTATGTAAACAAGGTAAACAAGCCTCGGGAGGCATAAAGATTATAGAGATGTGTTGTGGGATATTTGTACAGTGTGTGAAGATGTAATGCTGTGATTGGTTTAATAAGGAGCTGAATGACCAATAGCTAGGCA